GGAGTACAATTTTCCACTCTTAGTCTTCCGTCACACATCAAAGGAGGCAAACGTTACCTTGGCGCGTGCTTTTGTACAGTTCATGAGCGCTCTCCGAAACGGAATGCGTTTTTGCCACATTCAGCGTAGCGTCTGTGCGCGCTGTCTTCCGTCTTCTCTTACGGTGCTTCTGACTTTGTCACAGAATCGCTCAATTTCCTTAAACATCAAAAAACTCGCTCCGTAAAGATTTACATAACTCGTAATAATTGAGAGAATGCACTTGACTAAATGTTATTTAAGGAATGAATATTTCTGCATGCGCTTCGTTTTATAATAATCGTTTGGTTGAAACTACGTTAGTTCTTTAAATAAAAGATGCTGTACGAGACCAACAAAAATTTACTCTTCCGTCGTGGAATTTAGTGAAAATCTTCTAATCATTAAACTCTATCGGTAGGAAACTAACTGGATATTATTTTCGGACTTTCAACCTTACTTAAAATATTTTCTGTTTTAATTTAATTTAGTTATTCCATGATATAATATTTAATAGTAGATAGAACCAAACCACTGCCTTGTTTTATTCTATTTATTTTATTTAGTGTTCTGTCTGACGACAGGTCCATATGAACAGGATCCTTCCATCCGTTTCTCGGACTGGGACCTGTTCATATACGTTCTTGGCAGATGATCCAGTAGTGGTTTGCCATTGCCTTCTTCTGTGTGTGAATGGAGTAATTGTTGGGATGCCGCGGAGAAACCGGGGAAGCCCCCGGAGGAAAACTCCGTGTTGCCTAGACCACGGCCTTGCCCAACACAAGTTATAAAGTCGGGCACCGCCGGGAATCGAACCCGAGACCCCCAGGATTACAAGGCCAGCGTTCTAACCGCTAGACCACCTCATCTTATTATTATTTAGTGTTCTGTCTGACGACAGGTCCATATGAACAGGATCCTTCCATCCGTTTCTCGGACTGGGACCTGTTCATATACGTTCTTGGCAGATGATCCAGTAGTGGTTTGCCATTGCCTTCTTCTGTGTGTGAATGGAGTAATTGTTGGGATGCCGCGGAGAAACCGGGGAAGCCCCCGGAGGAAAACTCCGTGTTGCCTAGACCACGGCCTTGCCCAACACAAGTTATAAAGTCGGGCACCGCCGGGAATCGAACCCGAGACCCCCAGGATTACAAGGCCAGCGTTCTAACCGCTAGACCACCTCATCTTATTATTATTTAGTGTTCTGTCTGACGACAGGTCCATATGAACAGGATCCTTCCATCCGTTTCTCGGACTGGGACCTGTTCATATACGTTCTTGGCAGATGATCCAGTAGTGGTTTGCCATTGCCTTCTTCTGTGTGTGAATGGAGTAATTGTTGGGATGCCGCGGAGAAACCGGGGAAGCCCCCGGAGGAAAACTCCGTGTTGCCTAGACCACGGCCTTGCCCAACACAAGTTATAAAGTCGGGCACCGCCGGGAATCGAACCCGAGACCCCCAGGATTACAAGGCCAGCGTTCTAACCGCTAGACCACCGTGGCGGTATCACTGCCTTGATGGTAACATTATTATTGTTAAGCCACTGGATTAATTTGTTTACAAATGCTAGACGGTCATACATTTTACAAAATTATAATATCTTCTACCAGAAATTGATTAGTTTTTGTTATATAGCTTTAAATGTTTATGGACAATATTTATTTGTGAACTGAGCTTATTTTAATCAAAATTATCTTTTGAAACTTTTGATGTTCTAGTTATTTTTACGTACACCAACTCACATTCTGCTAAAAAAAACACATGCACATTTTAAGTTATCGTTATGATCAACAATCTTATTTCTTGCAAGTTGTTATTAGTGTAATACTAAGTACATACGCCAAAGTTTTATAGGTGCTTGCTGTCTGCGTCTTCAGAGAGACGATGTCTATTTTACGGCGCAAGAATCTAGAAGACCTTCTTCATACTCGCTTCCATGAGAACGTAAAAACTCACCAAGATTAAATAGGACTGCGTTATTTAAACCCTTGTAACATGAGAATCATAGACTTATCATGTGCGAAAAGCGAACTCTAGTGATATGTGATGAAGACTGACAAAGGTATTATGGCCGCTAAAATTCTCGATCTACAGCCAGATCCGATTGCATGAACTTTTGTTCAAAACGTAAAAATGAATAAATAAAATACAGAAAGGAGAAATAGGAGCTCCATTTTTCCCCCGAATAAGCATATTAACTATGAAGATACGATAAAGAATAACCCTACATATTGGTTATTGGATTTTGCGTCATATAACGTGATCCATATATGGTCTTTGGTCTGTAACAAAACCCTCTGGCCTTATAAAGCACACAGCTCTGTGTAAAGTAGCCTTATCGTACTCCTTTGTTATTAATTTTGCTTTAACTGATTTCCAAAGCAGTGTTAATTGTGTCACATACTTTAACACTCTGTGTGTGTGTATGTGGGGGGGGGTGGGGTGGGGGGGGGGT